TGTAAAAAAAAAATTATTTTTTGAGACATGAGGTGCCAACTTCACAGAGGTACAAACTTGAATTAAACCAAGATTAAAGTTAAGCGACGTTTGGTGCAACCGGGTCTAAGGCTCGGTTTCACCGGCGTTGTTTAACTTTAAGCTTAGCTTAAATCATTCTTTGTCTCTGCTTAACTATTACTTTAGAAAGAGATAAACTTGAATTAAACGTTTCGTATAATCTCCTGCGTCAACCAATGCCCACGTTTCCACCAGTGCAGTTTAACTTTAATCTCGGTTCAACTTCCTTTATATCTTCTTCTAGTTTTACGAATTGGACAAAGATACGAAGTAATTTAAACCGAGATTAAAGTGTTAATCTGCATTGGTAGAAAACGGGCATAAATCACGCCAGTTCCTCGTTTGAAAAAAAAAGATATCGGTTTGTCTCTCCGCGAAATCAAATTTTGTAGTACACATTTTTATCTTGCAACACAGTGCACTCGTTTCTAATCTCTTCCGTCAACTCAGTCACGCCAGTTCCTTTTCTCTTTACTTAAGAAAGCCGCCGAATTTGTTTCTCCGTGACGTTAAAAACGTATATTTCTTCGTTGTAATAAAACGGGCGGAGAGGCGTACTTGCAGCGCGGCAAGATTTCGCAAACACGCGACGCGACTTACGTTCTAAATCCGATTAAACGCGGAGTGTGCGTTTTTCTTTCCGATCGCGGGCCCGTCAGCACGTTCGTGGAGCAATTTGAGACAGAGCCACCGCGGTGACGTTTGGAGAAAAATCTTCTATTATGAAATAGGTTTCTAAATTGTGGGATAGCAGGTTTTTCAACGCCCAAATTCAATCACAAATCTTTTTTCGCAACGCAATCTAACAATGAATTTTCCACTAACACACAGATTTCACTCCAAGGGCAATATAAATTCATGGTGGAACCAACGGACGATCGGTTATTAATTTAACAGCCTGTTAATTCAAGCAGAAACCCACGCTATCTCATATTAGGAGCCCGTCCCGTAATAGAGACTTTCCTCTAATTGTCGACGTCGCGCAAACGGACTTTGGAGTCGCACGACAGGTCGCGTGTATCGGTAAAGCACCGAGGTCCTTTCACTTCGCCCCCTTTTGCATCAAAGGACGACGGCCCGCTTCGTTATACGCGCCACGCTCAGGTCGCTTAGGTCTCGCCCGAGGAACCGCCGCGTTCGATCGCGACTCGTCGCGGACGAATAGTCGCGGGGAAATCGCGCGGATCCCCCGCGAGTCGGCCCGCAAAAACCGCGGCGCAGAGGCCCCCGTTGCGAACGAGATAAATTGCTCTCCCGCGCGTACGAGACAGACGGCTGCACTCACGTTCGCTGCACCAAGCACGTAAAGCCGAGAAAGTGTCAGGATTCTTTTTCCTTCTCTCCCTTTCCTCGGACTCCGCTCGTGCGCGGCGTTCACCTTCCCGGCGCGCGTCCACGAGCATACTGAGGGCCCGAGTCCGCGCGTGCCTCTCGCTGCGTAACGTTACATTATCTCTCCCGGCACCCGCGCGCGGGGCCTGCACGCGAAGGAGAATGCGGGAGAGCGCGTCGTTTCTCGGAGGAAAACCGAGTGCGCGCACACGCACTCACGCACACCTTCCGCGCGGAGCGTGCCACGCGGTAGCCTTCGACGCGCCGCGTCACGCCGCGCGAGGTGCGTGTCCATCGCGATTCGGATTAGCGCGATCAGCGGTAAGGATGTCGAACCTCGTTGAAAGAAGTTACGTCGCCTTGACGCAGGGGGAGGAGGGGACGATAAACGTCGACGGTGAAATATCGCAAGAGGCTTGTACTTGTAAAACGTGCGAAGCGCAATGTTATACGAGTATACCTAGTGTTCCGGTCGATACCCTAGCAGCACGGTGCATTGGCTAAATACAACCAAATATTGGGCCGATGGTTCACCAATGTTTGGTCAATGTGCCACTAGGATCATTTTAAATCTGTAGACTTTCCTTATGTACCTGCCCAGGAGAAAAAATGAATGGAACGCAGGATGTGTTTTTTTTTAAACGCGCCCGAGTTGAGCAACGATATTCTTTGATAATATAAATTTTCATGACGACTTCGTGGCCCGACGTCAATTGCATTTTGTAAAATTTTAATTCGTTTCTTCTTATTTTAACGCGAGCGAGAATTCGAAAAATTGAATTATGTCAAGCCGCTCTCGATGTTTGATGCTGCGTCTGGGAGGAATTGACGCAGTTAGTCAGCAGCTGAGTACACAAAAGGCGATCTGTATAGAGTTACGAATAATGAGTGAAAACTCACGCGTTTGTCATCAGATCGCAGAAGTTTATCGATTGGTAAATCGAGGCGCAACGTATCCGAGCGTTTGTGCGGGAACCAGATATAGAATTCTGTTAATTTAAAAAATTAATGAGATACTCGTATGCAAGGAAGAATTTACGAATTGATCGAAGAGTGACAGAATTGGAATCGTAACACGATATAACAAATTCTTATAAAACTTTAAATTAATCTATTGATGTTTAAACAGTAATTTTATATATCAAGTAAAAAATAACAGAGTCTCGTTAATTTTATCGGAGCAAATCGTTGCCATTCCATTTAGCTGAGAATCACAATTACTTCTCCCCTGTAAATTATTGACTCGAATTTTAATTACTCGAAATTCAAGATGACAAATGCAATTTATAAGTCGAATAAATTGCACGCTATAATATTTGTTAGATGAAGACAGACCGTGAACAATTACCGTGGTTCTACACCCAGAAAAAGAGATTGTTTGAATTTCGACAAGAAATTATTTCTTTATACCTTCCCCTAAAATTTTATCGAGACTGGGATTTCTAAGAGAATTCATACCTATTTCGTCACATCTATAGCAAACGTTTTAGTAGAAGTAAATAAAAATTCAGTAGATTCAAAGAAACGCGATACCAACGTATTTCATTTGTTTGACCTAACTAAATCCCTTTTCTGGGTGTATCCTGGAAACGTTCTCCAGGTATGATTCGCTTCTCTCGCAAAAAGTTCTTGAACTCCGCAAGATTCTTTTATCTCGGCGAATGACTTAATCGCGATAAAAATACAGGTGCGTATCACAACATATACTGCAGATATGCCTGAAGAATTCTAAACGAGATAACGGCGAAGCCACAGCCAACTGTGCTAGCGACTACGCGGATAGCAGTCTCGTCCCTCTCGCATATGCAGCTGCATATACATAGAAGCGCACGTGAAACTTTATATACCTAATAGTATACTTCGCGTAAGTGCACACTTGAGTCACTTCTGAATAATCACGCGACAATTTTCCCCATGCTGCATAAGTCGCGGCGGAAGCGCATTGTTGTAGCAGGAATATATCACAAAGAAGATGCTGTTTAATTATTACGTATATTATTTCTGCTTTACACACACGCACCCAGATAGCACAAGACACCTCTGTGAACGTTTTAAGAATATTCTTCAAGAATATTTGGAAGGTCATTCTTATATACACATATTTACCTCTGTGAAGTTGGCACCTCATGTCTCAAAAAATCGTTGTTTTTTTCAGTTCTGAATGCACCCCGAAGAGTTCTAGAGTTCCTTATCAATTTTAAAAATAGTTCTGGCGAATTAACCTGAAAAAGTTAAATTTGAAACTTGGGGATGCTAACTTCACAAAATAAAAACTCGAAATCAGCGATAACACTAAAAGTATTGGAAATATTTAATTTTGCCATTAGGATTTCCTTTAGAACTCTTGAGGGGCTACCCAGAACTCTCAACAAAACTGCTGGAACTGTTAAAAAACGAGTAAAGCCAATATTGGCCGTGAAATAAATGTAAATATTGCACGATAATAATTATATGTTATTAGATTTATATTGGAAATGCATTGGCCAATATTTAACAATGTAATAGCAATATTGGTCTAGTATTGTTACAATATTTACATTTTATACGAACTCTTGAAGAAATCGGCCAAAGATGTTGGAAATGATAAAAAAGCAGGCCCGGGAAAATGTTCAGAAACGATTGAAAATGACCCAACTATTCGTATTGTCTGTCAAATGTTACAAAACAATTAATAGAATTGCGATTGTGGGCGTCGATGATGATCGATGTTCCGTTACGAAGCGATGAATCTTCGTGCTTCGAGGAAGGGGATAAGTGTAAAGAGAGAGGAGCCCATCTACATCACGGAATACCGAGTAACTACGCAGAAGCGATTTACCGCAATTGTATATGGAGCCTATAGGAAAAAACGGGCGAGCAAACTTTCACGCGGTTCTTGCGTTAGGAAACGTACTTAGAATCCTAAGATAAAGCCGACACTTTCGTTATAAAACCCGATGTCGAAAGACATACAAGCACACGTCCCTGGGTGAAGTTGGCGTCTCACTTTGCACTAATCGATTTTTTGTCTTTAAAGGCCAGAACTATGTGTTTAATGTATCAGGAATTCTAGAACTATTATAAAAGAAGCCAGAACTCTCAATAGTTAATGAGTTTCCACGTAATGAGACGCTAGCTTCACATACACCACGTCCCTCCTTTCGAGCCTCGATTATTTATAACATGTATTAGTTACGTGTTAATTGACAATAATACGACGTATTTATGTCGGACGTGTTAATTGGCGAGTGAACTTTGGCCATTTCTTAAGAAGATTAGTTGCCAGTTCTCGCGTATCTCAAGATACAATTCGAGATTCCATTTATCAATCCGTTCGTACACGGAAAAAATGACGTATCAACAAGTTCAGTGTAATAAAATAAAATCGTTGAAACAACATCAATATTAACGAATTAGAACCACGAGAGAGTTGTCTTAACAATCTTAACAATCTTAACAACGTCTTGTCTGAACAATGGATATTTAATTCAATGCTTAAAAGTGCGGTCCATGGCAAATACAATTGGGTGAATTATTTATGTTTGTGGCACAAATTACAACGTGGCGCTCGCTGGCAAACGCAAAAGATCAAGGGCGAAGCGTGAAACGCGCTCGCTCGCGCTGGGGTCCACGGACAGACAATTTTACGCAGGATCTCTCGACGAAGAGCTCGCGGGGAAAGTCGCGGCCGATAATCGTATGCGTAAAGTGATCGGGCGCGCCTCTCTTGCGACCTCGGGACCGCTCTTTCGACCTCCGTCTGCCGCCGAATCGCGCGGACGCGACGGTGCCATCGTTAAACGGCTTTATTGTCTGGAATCATGGCCCCTGCTTCCCTTCGCGGTGCAGAGATGTGACTCACTCGCTCGTCACTCGGGTAACGGGTGTCCCGGCATTCCGGAAACCGGCGGTCGCGCGCTGAGTTATCCGCGCTCGAGATTATGTCGAAGAAGATACAGAGGGATCGAGTGTTTCGAGCCGCGTGACTCAGACAGCAAAAATCCTTCGCCACGATCCTTTCCTAATGGACGATTCTAGATCGGGACTCCTAGCTCTTCTCTCGACCCAAACTAGACTCTCTCGTCCCCTTCCGAGAAATCGCTTTAATCTCTCGCGAGAAGAGGATTCGAGAGTAGATTTATGATGACGCTTTGAAGTCGCGATTGATCGAGGGAGGAAGAGGCAGAGATTATTTTATAAATTTTACACGGCAAAAAAAAGCTGTTGAATTAAACAAAATGAAGTTGCGTGAATTGAACGTTAACGTCACGGGCTGCCACAAACATAAATAATTCACTCAATTGTATTTGCTGTGGATTTTAATTTTAAACATTGAACTAAATATTCAGATTATTAAGACAACAATCTGATGTTGTTTCAACGATTTTATTTCAATTGCACTGATCTTGTTGACACAACACCATTCTTTTTTCCATATATAAATCCATAGAATTTATAAGTTAATTCTTTATCGGGCATTGGACAATAATTAATTACCAAAAATTCTAATCATTTTTACTACAATACGCCTTTTATATACTTTAGTACGGTTTGGTTTCGCCATTGTTCATACACGGACGTTTTGGCGCTGCTATAACGCTACGCGCTCAACCGATCTGATTTTTGCGAAACAATGCCTCGACCGCGATGCGACGCACTTCCTGAGCATATTTTAACGCCGGATAATGCAGCCCGTTTCATGCCGGTTGAGCACGAGAGCGTGAACGCGAGGAAACACGAACACTCGCAATTTGCAGTGATCGTTCAGCCATTAATCGCTTTTGTCTTAGAAATAGAATTGTCTGCATCCCGGCACGAATTGCGAGCCGATTCAAGCGAGCTCGATACGAAAAACATTTAAGGCCGGTATTCAGTCGGAGCTTATATTCAAGACTGTCTTAAGATCATCTTTAGATACTCCGTAGCCAATGAAATGTTCCATACAGCATCTTTAGATAAATTCAAGACGGTCGTGAATATAAGATCTGACTATGAATACCGGTCTAAGATTACAAAGCACCCGTACTAACCGCTCCTTCGTGCAGGGGCCACCTTAATAAAATGAATTTTTCTGTCGGAACATATTGAACCTAGCGGCTATTTTCAGGTGTAAAAGCATTCATGACGCCGAGTGTACGCTCTGGTGCACTTTGGTGTGTGTACCAAGCAATCGCGCTACTGCAATATTTCTGCACGTTAGTTTCTGTTATTTAAATTATCTTTTCTTACCCTTTAAATTACCCTTTATATTGCGTCACAGTAAGAACAAAAATGTAGAAGGGCCATTTACTTAAGTGTATTTAACTAAGATGGAGTTCTGTACGTATATTCTTATTTTTCTCCAATTGAAAAAAACTGGAGCCACGCCGGGCATGCTTGCGCGCATCCGGCAAATTAATATTTAATTGATATACGCGCGACGGAAATGCAATAACGTACGAGCGTGACGACATTCGCTCGCGAGGCCGATATAGCTTCCGGCACTCCGTTGCCGATTGAACCGATCGCAGATAGTTCGATCGAGTAAGTAAACTGTCCTGGAATTATTAAACGCGCGACAAAAACATGTACAAATCTATAAAAGTATACGGAACTCCGTGGAATTGTATGAAAAAACAAGTATACAATGTAAAAATATGTATGGACATATTTGATGGGTATTTTTATCTAATTCTGTATATTTATAGGCGACGGAACATGCAACCAAACACATGTTGCATTTCTATACTTTATCTAAATAGGGCAGTATTAGTTACTCCGAATGGTTCGGGGATAACTTATCGGTTGTGCTAGCGGCCAATAAAAACTTATCACTCCATTAAAGTGAGGTACGGCGTGTATAAAGAGTGTAAAAACGGCAAAGAGCCGGGCAGTGAAACGAAAAAGGCGATATCCGTGACGCGGATCATTTAGTATCTTCGTAAGTGTCGTAACGAGCTACTGCTTCACAATCGCAACCGTAAGGTTCGCCGAACTTTTCGCTTGTTCAATTCGTGTTGAAAATTTCGTTTCCGGACTCGCCGAGAGTCCCACGTGGACTATGTCCAACGCGATTTTCTTCGCTCCGCTCGCCGCGGAAAATTCAAAACGGGCTGGCTGCTTCGTCGTCGCTCGGCGTAGCGTGAGATGCAGGAATCAATAATTATCGTAGGCCGCCACGCCACGCATCTCCCCGTGCACGGATCAGCGGGCGCGCGGCGGCCCGCGTAGCGCGGGAATAGTGGCGACTCCGTCTCCTCTCTGGTCCTCTCGGGCTGACTCTCGGTGACGCCGACAGACCGCGCCTGTGTTTTGCGTCCGGCCAAAGTCGGAGTCGTTGGAGGCACGAGTCCAACGCCACGTTCTCACGTTCTCTCTTTCTCTCTCTCTCTCTCTCTTTCTCTCTCTTTCTCTCTCGTCCGCCGAAAGAACCGAGGACGCGCATCCGCGTGGGTGACTTCTCTCTGTCCCGCGCGATTCGTCACGATTTCCCTCGCGCTCGTGGAACGTCCGTGTGAGGCCGAGAGGCGGGAATGCGTGCGGCTCGCGGCTCGCCGAGCGACGCCGAGCGTGTCTCCCGCGTTGCTCCACGGCTGTAAACGCCGTCTCTCTCTTTCTCTCGCCCTCTCCTTCTCCCTCTTCCCTCTCTCTTTCTCTCCCTGTCGCGGGGAACGATGGACGTGATAGTGCGATAGGTTCGACGGCGACTCGAATCCCCGTGGAGCAAGCGCGTGGAATCTCGGCCGACCGCGCGACGTCATGACGCGTCTACGGGGCCGTGCGTCGCTGATGGTCGTCGCGACCATCAGCTTCGTCCTGCTGGTCGTCATATACCACATACTGAGTAACGAGATCGACGAGATGTCATCGGGCAAGATCGGCGCGCGTCTACGAGCCGAGGATGTGTACCCACCAGGTGAACTCACGGACGGAGGGCAGCGAGTAGACGAGCGGATGACGGGTGATCTGAAGAACGGTAGGAACAGACTGGTTAACGAGTTAACTCACGATAAATCGTTTGCAGAAGTCACTGCGCCGCTGTTCAAGGGCCATAAGATCGTCCATCTAGATCTGAAAGGCGCCCCGCCGAGGATCAGCTATTACAGCTATCTGTTCCCCCTGCTGCGAAAGCTGGGCGCCACCGGCGTGCTCGTCGAGTACGAGGACATGTTCCCCTACGCCGACGATATCGAGGACATACACGCCGGCAACTCTTACACCAGGAAGGACGTCGCGCAGATACAGAGTTTAGCCAGGAACAATCAGCTGATCGTTATACCGTTGATACAGACCTTCGGCCACATGGAGTTCGTTCTCAAGCTGGACAAGTACAAGGACCTGAGGGAGGTCCCGCATTACCCGCAGGTCGTGTGCCCCACGTACAACAAGACGCTGCCGCTCATCTACGAGATGATAAACCAAGTCGTGTCGGCGCATCCGACGTCGAAATACTTGCACATAGGCGCGGACGAGGTTTATCAGATAGGAGAGTGCTCGAGGTGCTTAGACGTCATGGCCAAGAGGCAGTGGAGCAAGCGACAGCTCTTCCTGGACCACGTCTCCACGGTGGTCAAGTACATTAAGGAGAGATACCCGGAGCTAACTGTACTTATGTGGGACGACGAGTTCCGCGACATATCGCCGCAGGAGATCATCGACAGGGGCCTCCACGAGATGGTGGAGCCGGTCATTTGGAAGTACACCACCGATCCCAGCACGACGCTGTGGGATCAGCTGTGGGAGAGTTACGCCGCGGTGTGGAAGGAGGTCTGGGTCGCGACGGCGTTCAAAGGCGCCACCTCGCCGGACAGATATTACACGGACATCTCGTACCACATGGAGAACCACCAGCGCTGGCTGGAGATGATTCAGAAGTACTCGAGCCAGCTCACGTTCAAGGGTGTCATGTTGACCGGATGGCAGAGATACGATCACTTCAGTGTCCTTTGCGAATTGCTGCCGGTAGGACTGCCGTCTCTCGCGATTGACTTGGCGATATTGCAAGCCTCCGATGTAAACGGCTTCCCCATAGAACTGCCCGATCGCATAGCCGAGGCTTTGCAATGCGAGGGTATCATCTCGTTGAGCATACCGGAGCCGCAGTACGGCTGGACCAAATGCAGCTTCCACGGGGTGTCGGTGTACGCGGTGATTTTACGCCTTTACTCTCTCACGCAGGAAATCACGAAAATGGAGCAGGACAATACCTACAAGGGATGGCTGAAACCGTACAATATCAAATACTCTTTCGCGAGCCCCAATTACGTCGAGCGCGCGTTTACCGACTTGGACAGGCACAAAGTCGAAATTATGTACATCGAGAAAGAGATGCGTACAGCCATGGAAGATATTTACGACGATTACACGATACAAGAGTGGCTTGACACGTATGTCGCGCCTCTAAACGAAAAGCTCAATCAGTTGGTGGAAGTCAAGGCGAAACTTTTAGACAGAAACACGTGGCCAAAGAGACCTCTCACGAAATCCGATTTATAGTATAAATCGGCGGCTTTCGAATGAGCAGGCGAAGATTAATGTTCTTTATGGTACATAATAAGAGACTGAAAATTTTATTAAAAGAACGCGAGAAAAAAAAAGTACGCGTGTTTTTTTCGCGGATAATTGCGGAAAAATCTTTTAGTAATTATTTTATAAAAACAAACGGCGTGGATAATCAGTGAAATGTAAAAATTTTGGACTCGCAATTTTACATCTTGAGCAATCCTTGTACAGAATATGTGATAATATGTAATTTGATAAGAGAGTAATCAAATGGTAATTGCACCGTCCGTGTAAATTAGTCAATCTCGTTTGTCTCGACGAAATTTAATTGACTTATTTATGGTAGAATTACCAATAGACTTTTTTCTTACGTAGATCACCCACAAGTTTTTTTGAAAAATCATTATAAATAATTATTCATCTCCTTCCAACGAAAAGGAAATCTTAAATACACTATTAATGTTCTGGGTGATTTGCAGAGATAGACGGTGTAAAGATAGTTAGTAATATATTGATAAATATATATATTAAACGAACAAATATGATTTTGCGGCGTTGAAATAAATAATTTATTGTCGGTTTGTTAAGAATGCTAGATCTCAAATTGTTTTTTTAGATTTGGAAAATCATATATAATATATATTATATATACGTAACGGACACATCTTTATAATATAACGTGGATTATATAAAGTTAATCTTTCCAATCGTATACGCACACAACGCTCTTTTTTCGTGTTACGTCTTCTAATTATAAAGACTTGTGTACGCAGAGTTATATTTTACTGGAATGTTTATTGAAAAAACATTGGCAATTTAATATTAATTCACGCGTGTTAACCATCTGCAGCTTTAGCTTAAGCGGGGAATCGTGCCATAAGCAGATAATTGCGACATTATGCTCCAATTAGATAAAATTTTGAAGGCTGAAAAGATTATTTGTATCCGTGCTTGAATTGAAGACTTTTTATGTGAGAGACGGAAAATGAGAAGAGTGTTCTTTAATTTAAAAAAGTATCTTTACGTCTTTATATAAGTCTGTTGCTTTTTTCTTACGGTACTGTAACGAAAACTGCTACTATGCACGACATAGGTCGGTATTCATAGTCAGATCTTATGTTGTATGTAACATTTTATTGGTTACGGAATATCTGGAGATAATGTTAAGACGATCTTGTAAGATCTGACCATGAATACCGCCTAGAAAGACGGTACGAAGTATCTTAGAGACCTTTCGATAGTTTTGAAAATTGAGAACACGGAGCTTCTTCATAAAAAATTTTTATTATTGTTACAATCTTTTTTTTATGTTGGGTCTTCAATCATGCTGCAATTTTTCGATGGGCGAAACGGCTTGTAATGCAATATTTAACAAATCTTCCTAGTAATTTCGACTTCTTCTGTGAGCTACTAATATACATATACGTCTTTGCATTGTATCATGCGCTTTGTTATTATTTCATAGTTCATACTATTATAAAAGTATTTTTAATGTTGTTATATAAATAATATATTGCGCGTGTAACTATTATCACAACTAATGAGATTAATAAATCTGTTTTTCAATCTACGGTAGATTCTGTGGTCACGTGTCTATCCATTGGCCCCGCGCTACGTAAATGTTTTATTTTCGTCTACACATGTAATTTTTTTATGTGATGCGACTCGGTACATTCACGCGCAAGACCCAGTCGTAAAAAATACATTCTCAACCTTGCGTGTTCGCCGTGATGGATACGTGCGCACTCAAATGAATGAAACTTATGTAACATACAAATGTGCAGAGATATTGTCTAACGTCATGTATGAAACGCGGTATTTATTATTTATCACGGCTGTAATTTCATAATTTTTGATGAATCTGACAGAATTAATGTGTATATTTCGTTCAATTTACGTAGAAAAGTTTTCTTTCTAACAACAGAAGTGTCCGATGATCACTATTGCAGTACGCATACTGCGGATTTCGAGGCGGGGAAGCGGGGATGAAATGCAATCGGATGCTGCTTCTTATTGGGAAACCTTTTTACGACTTTTTGTATCGAATTCACGTCCACCGAGTCCCCAATTTCAGCGATAATGATGGGCTTGTGAAAGTCTTGATCCGTTCTTGTTAATCGGACACCCAAGATTTGCGCCGCCAAGCCCGCTACGCATAAAGATACCTGAAAGTACAGTGATCGTCCTTACAGCTCGCTCGTCCTCATATATTAAAATAATATATGATTAACAGTACATAAATGAATTATATATTTTTTTGAAGAACGTTTTCGAAAGAAAAATTACCGATTCTCCAGTTCTCGCGGACATGTCGTGATAAGCAAGTCCGTTTTCCGCGGCGAATCGATGCGACCTGTCTCTCTTGACTGTCCTTTGGTGTTCCATGTCACATTTATTACCTACTACCGCTATTAGAGGCATTTCGTCGTAAGCGTCGATGAAACTCTTGATTTTACTGAGCCACTCCTCCAAAATGTCGAAACTCGAGCTGTTCGTTACGTCGTACACCAGAAGGATGATCTGATTCATAAATATACAACCGGCTTGCAACAACGTACAATTAGCAAGAAGCGTATCGATACTAATCAAATAAAATGAATTGAATTTGACGAGATAAAATTTGCATCCTGAGAAGGTAGCAAAGAGCGTCGAATCGGGGCTTACGTGCGCTCCGAAAATGTACTTGTCCAACATGTTGCCGTGCAGGGCAAGCCCGCCGACGTCCCACAGATGCAAATTGACATTTTTGTAGCAGCCGACGCTGATGTTCTTGAGGAAGAAGTCGATGCCCGCGGTAGGCACGTACTGCCTGGTGAAATCGTTGTTGCAAAACTTCTGGACGATGCTGGTCTAAGGAAGAATCCTTGAATTTCAATTATCAAGAATGACAGGCGTCGCAGGGAAATAACAGGCATTACTGGCGATCAATAAAACATGGTAATGACAGCCAACGTGCGGTAGCTGCCGAACGAATTAAAAGTTGCGACTAAAGCAACATTGTTTGGTTATCGCGTGTCACAAACAAGTATCGCTTGTTAATCACAGTTTATATTTAACGGATCTTCAGTGAATTTATAACGACTAAAAATATACATACACGCATTCGTTACGTAACCTTCCGGGCAAACATTGTTCACATATAATTGCATCCAAAATCCATAAAGTCCGTGTATGTTTTTTTGTTCTTGTGTAATCTCTGCTTGCACACACAAGAAAGATAAGAATTACAAAATAATTAAACGGATACTGACATTGTTTTTCTACAAAAAAATTAAGCTTTAGGAAAGCAAAAACTCTGCCCATGTACAATCATACATGAACAAAATATTGTACAGAATATTGCACGGAGAGAATTTTCTCTTAAAATTTACCCTGAAAATCATGTATAATAATTGTGGGACAGCGTGGCATTTTGACGAACTTTATTTTACCGGTAAAATGTATGGTAAAATTTTATAAAATTCTCCAAAATGCCAAATCGTCCCACGACGACATGATTTTCAGGCTAAATTTTTAAGAGAAAATTCTCTCCGCGTATGTATAATCTCTAATCGCAATTTTACTTTTAGTAGAAGAAACTGTGCGAAAGTTATTCTTCCAGTTACCTTTGTTATGTAATTACATACAGACAGAGATACAAGAGAAAGAAAACATAAATGGACGTATATTTTACGTATGAAAAAAATTTTTTTCCGGTTTATAAACTTGATAAATTGCAAGAATAAGTTTTATGCTGAATAAGTAAAAGTTGTGCCCGACCTTTCTTCCTCGTAACGTTTGTCAAAATAATGAGAAAGAGAAAGAATGACTTCCAGAGGTTAATAAATTCACGTTTGACCTCCGTGATGAGGCACGTTAATGCAAAAATGCATCGATTAGAAAATTCTACCGATTTGCTTTATTGTTCTATTATTGACAAGTTCGAGGAATATACGAGCGTTGCATGTCGCGAAAGTGTCCGCATTAGGTCCACGAGGGCACGAAGTCGCGGCCAGGGGTTCCATCGATCCAAGCTCGCGTATCACATTCATCGTTACATTGTAGCCATACACTTAAGCCAACGGCACACGATACTATTTGTCTTATTCGATTGCTTGCGAGAGCCAATAAGAATGCAGAGGTTTTAGATCAGATTACTTAAGGCTAAATCCTGATTGGCTCTCGTAGGCAATCCGGTAGGAAAAATAGTATCGCGTGCCGTTGGCTTTAGTACAGAAACGTAGTTGCCAATGTAACGATAAAATCACATTATTAACGATATCGACAGCAATAACTCGCAACTAAAAAATTACTTGAAAAATTATATGAACATCCACAAAAAAAAAGGAAAAAACACTCGTCAACTTCACTGCCCGCACGGTCGTTACGAAAAGGGCACATTTAGCAAATGCTCTTCGATAACGAAGCCCTCCCTGTCACCTGTTGAAAGGCTCTTGCTACATATACCGTTTTTTCACCATGGTGATCGGCAAACAAATTTGAACAGACAGCTGCACGCTAATAAGTATCCGTCGCGAGCGGCCGAAACTTAGGGATCAACCACCTCTGACTCGGCCGTCGCGTCGCCGCGTCCTCCGCGCGAGCTAGACTCCCTCTGATCAGAGTCTGGCCAACGGGCCAGCTTCGGCAAATGACGCGAGAGATAAAGAAATATATCATGACGCATATGCTGTATGTAGAATGAGAGGGAATATATTTCTTTCTCTCTCGCGTCATTTCGCCGAAACTAGCCTGTCGGCCAGACTCTGATCAGAGGGAACTTTAGCGCGAGCGAGGAAGGCGCGACGGGGCGAAAACTCACTTTCCCGGCGCCGGAGTCACCGACGAGCACGATTTTCAGCCGCTTCTCGGCCGACTCCTCGTCGACGTTCGACATCGGGGAGGACGCGGCGAAGGCGCGGGACGAATCGACGGCGGTCCTCGGTGGCGATCATGCGAGCGGCATGACTCGACCGTCGGGACGGTCCTCGGCCGACTATGATGCCGCGGCATGGAATGTGGTAGCTCGCGTGTTGTGGCGAACGCGCCGAGGTCCGAATCGACCGGCAGTGGTGGCCAGCACGGCGTCGTCGTCGTCGTCATCTACTCGCGGGCATGAATAAATTAGCGAATAATCGATAACAGAAGCGCGCCACCGCCAACGTGCGTACCTCGCGGCTTAGCAGCGGTTCTGGGCGCGTAAAAGGAGTACCTTGACGACGACGACGATGATGTTGACGCAACGTTATGGCGTTACGTTTCAGGACAATGACAATGCGCCTGTGTTTGATGGGTGACGAATTGCGGTGGTCTCGGACAGTTTTGGGAAGTCCGGAAACGAATGCAGTGCCGAAAATGTTCACGTTTGCGATATTAAATTATGCAATTTATTTTCCGGTACAATCTTGGCTTCTTGTTACGCTAGTTTACATATAATACTGTCGTATTTTATATATAAATATATATTATCTTTGTCGCTTTATTTTTAAGGCACTCTTTCGTGTCAACGCGATGACGTAAATTAATCTGAAAACCTACCGTCAACGTGTCTCAATTGAAAATTAGATCCTTATAATTTTGCAAAAGGTAGTAATTCGACACTCTGCAACAAGTGATCGTTCTTACAACTGTGAGTCTGTCGGCTCGCTCGAAATTCGCTGTGACAATTTCATAGTATCTTCCGTCACTAAAAACAAATAGAACGTTTTAGGAGCTGTCGCTCGTTTTATATTTATTTTCTTACCTTAGACTTAAACATTTCAACTTGATGCACTTGACACGTAGAATATCGATGGCTTTCTGACTCTTGTCCGAAAATCGCAAGTTTTCCGGGTCCCACCGCAACTCCAGTCTCTCCAGGTTGGGACAGTTGTTCGCGATTCCATCCATCAATTGATCCACGTGAATATTGACGCCTAGCCTCTCTTGAGTGCCCATCACGAGGATTCTGAAATAGTATTGGAATTTTACATTCCAAGAAAGAATGTTTTAACTATCAAAATTTAAATTGTAATAGTAGAGAGAGAGAGAGAGAGAGAGAGAAAGAGAGAAGGAGAAAACTTTCCTAAAAATGTTGTAATACGCAGTTCAAGTACAGAAAGACAAACACTTAAAATTCTGTCAAGTGGAAGATGTACACAATAATGATAACTATTTTTATTTAGTATACAGTTTAAAGATAAGGAATTTCAATCACGCTAAATAGAGCTACTAACACATACGGTACTTATGCAGATACAGTCACGTCACGAATATTTACCTTGCATTAGTGAGAATTGGTAGCACGCTTTGCCAAAGCTGATCGGTAATGTGCGTCATGCCTGACAACGCGAGACCATACAGCTGATGGCCGTGCCTCGACAGAAACTTGTGCAGGGCGTCATCGCTCAGATTATCGGAGCGATCAAGGTCCAGGGCTATCAAGTTCCGCGTGTTCCCTAGCTCGGTCCAGGCCTTCAGCACGTTGTCGTTGAAACTGTTCAGTTGACCGGCGCTCAGGAAGCGCAGCCCGGGGATTCTGGTCAGCATGTCTATCAGGCATTCCGTCGACAGATCGGTAGCAGTAATGTCGAGCTCCAGTACGCTCGACTTCTCCCATTCAACTTGCATTACGTACTCGCTAAGCAGATCTAAAATATTGCGTGCAACACATTTTTTTTATATCTTGACGAAAACGGATACATATCTATTCGAGCTGCGTGGAACATGTTTTGCATTAACCGTCTCCGACGTAGATTGGACAATGCAGTTCGGTTTAAACAAAGGTTCGCGAAGTGAGATTGCGAAAATTTAAGTTGGCACTTTTTAAAGTACCAAGATAAATCAAGACGGTCATAGATGTAGTCATATCTCACTTGTTCCTTGCATGAGAAGGCACGTCAGTCTCCTGCTCCTTTGGAAGAGGGTCTTCATGGTCGAACCAGTGACTTTGGCACAGTAATTTACGGCTAGGCATTCTAATTGGATACAATTAGAGGAGAAAGCGTCGATATGCGAATCATCCACGAAATTTATTCCGTACAAATTGATCACCCTCAAATTCGGGGTCGCCGACTTCAGCTTGTGCACGTTGATCACTTCGTAAATTTCCTCTTCTTCCTCTTCGATCTTTTCGTATGTTCCTAGAGAATGATAGACAAAGTAATTAATTATAGAAATAATATTATAGTAAACGTCTCACTACAATAATGTTTTTATACATAAATAATGATGCATCCGTTTTCTTTCTTTTTCAAAAATTTGACAGTCGGTATTGATATTTATAGCCTACACGATACGCGAATGATATCGTACAAGATAATGCAGAAATGTAGATTTAATCGATTACCGATTAAATGAAGTATTTCCAGTCCATTGATGAAGTTGTAGATCTTACGCATGAATCCTTCCATGAAGATCACCTCCGACAAGCAGATGCACATGTATTTCAATTTCGTAGGGAACGCTTGCATTTCCGAGAAGTCGTGCAGTTGCATCGCGGTCGAAAAGTCCAATAGCATGTGCGTTAAATTCGGACACTTGTTGGCTAATTCATGAAGAACCGTATGAGTGATCAGTTCGATCGGCAATTCGATGTACCTCAACGAAGGTCCAAAGCGTACGCTGAAATTCACATTATTTTGCAGTGCTACAATTTTAAGGGAAAATGCTCTCCGCGTATAATAGGGTTCGTACACCAAACAGCCACTCGAAAAAAAAAAAACGATTAGCGCTGCGTTGCCCCGCATTGTTATTTATGTTTTACGTTACCTAATTAGATGTAACAAATTTTCCAGAGAGCTCACGTGGAGTCCGCTTACTTCTGGTCTTAGAGACACGTGCTTCCATAGGCGCGTGTCGTACGCAATTTGTCGCCAGCGTTTGCAAACGCGAGCGACCCTGCATATCTCGCGATGCGAGAGGTAGCAAAATACATTCAGAAGAACTTTGTCCGGCAGCTTCTCTATCGTCTGTGCGGGGAAAAGGCATTTTATTAATACTGAAACCAATGACGCGCCGTTAGTCGAGTCGTTCGGTATTATTTCAGGAAATTGGGGAAATGAATTAGGAGGTGACGAACCGATCGAATAGCTCTACGAATTAAATCGAACTTGTGCAATTTCGTACGTGTGTTTCCCTCGTGCATTATTAATATGTAATATATTATATTTATACGTTTTGGCGCGATTACGAGACGGATTAAACTTGTGACGTAAATACACTATTCGCCGAGCTCGTCCTACCCGTTAAATCGGGCTGCGTTTATCAGTTTTGGATGCCGATTTTTCTTTCGGCAGAATTTTCGTAGATCGAGTAAAGTTTAATGTCTAGCACAGTGTGCGAACTTCACTCCTTCGGTTCTGAATCTAACGTGGTGCCATGGAATCAGGTAGTCGCGCGGAAAATAGACGATCGAACAAACGATCGTATTACATCGGTGTTAAATAAATCAACTTACAGTGCGACTTTTAGCGGCACCACCCTCAGAAACGTACATCTGAGACGTTTCTAGGGCAATCTGGCCCCAAACGTCCACACCACCGAGATCCATGGTGCTGCCTCTTTTGACGTTAGATCAAAATGAGGACGTTCGGCTTTATGTAATTTTCTTCACGTATACAGTCCAGTGTCTCTCTCCAATAAATTAGACGTTTAAAAGTCCAAATTTTTTGGTCTTTACTGCTATTTTATTTCGAGAGGTCGCCTTAATTTTTGCTCTTAAACGTCACCATACGATCACGGTTTATCTCGGCATGCTTGTCGCGATTTTACGGACGATGCAGTTTTTAATTTGTGCACTTCGGTATTTGTAAACGCGTGAACAACTATTTAATGAGAGGGTGATATTACTGTTCGCAGTTATACACGCGACTTGATGGGAATCGCGACACACGAGGCACAATTCGGGGAAGCTTAAACTACAAGTCTTCAGCCGAGTTTTAATCGGATCGCGCTTGCGCGTCGCCCTAAATATACGACTTGGAAGGCTTGCCCGTATTTTATTTTAAACACCACCGTGTCTACGGCAACGGCTGGGGTGCAAGTTTTACATTTTTTATGCAATTTACTTCTTGATAAAGAACCAAACTCGAAATTTTATTCGCGACCACCACACATGTTAAATACAAAAACATATTTTCATTGTCGAAATGGAAAACGCATTTTCAATTATCTTGATGCATTTTTGTTCGAGTGGTATCTGTACTGTACTTACATAATATCGCACGCTGATTTATCGATACATTCAGTTTCATGCATACGAATGATTCGCAATTTGCATAATCATTTTTAGAATATATTATTATTCTTTTGATACGTATGCATAAGCATATTCGTCTTACGAAGAAGAAAATTATTACACAACTAGCGAGATGGTTTATTTAAATTGTTCCAAAAAAGGATTTATATGTAAACTTGTTTACATAAACACAATTTATAGTTAACCCCTTTTTGAAATAGTTTACAGTTTATTCACATGACAGTATAAATCGCAGGTGTGATCTCGTCAATTTTTGAAGTTTCCCTCAACTTAAGGAAAAATATGCGGGACGAGGGATCGAACCCTTTCACTACTAGTCACTCGTGTTAGCACAAAGCTACACGTCGTCCCACCGTGCCAGTTTAAGTCGTGCAACAATTCTTTCTTTCGTTAATCAACTACTGGCAACAGTAAAATTCCTTCCTGTAATATTCGACTTATTTTTTAAAATTTTATAATTAGATAATTTGTAGTCCTGACTTGCCTACAAAAATTAATAGCATTCAGAAGAGAAACTAATTGGCACAGAAATCTGTATTATTATTTAATATTCACACAGCAGAAATGTATGTACATATATATATATATGATAATACAGAATTCAGTGCCAACAATTTCATTTATTGCTATTAATTTTTGCGAAGGAGCCAAGTAAAGATATATCTCATACTTTTTCAGGAACACATTTCCTGTTACTTCAATAAATATTGTGCGGGTGCACAGATGATGTTGTATAAATTCAGCGCTGGACTGCTCATAAAACAACTTTCTTAATGTCTTTCGTGTGCTTTTGGCATAATGATTGGCACGATTTCAATTTGATACATTTAATGAATCGCCAGCAACAGGTTACGCATCTATCGCGTAATTAAGGTGCACGAATCTCGTATTGGCTAGCGGAGTTAGTGACAATTAAGAAACTACTACTAGAGTTAAGCTATCTCTAACTGGGTCATCGAACTATAATAATAGGATTCATATCGATTTCTCGGTAATGGGCAAGTTTATTATCAACTTACTATTGCGCATACAGATAACCGTCCTCGAGTATCTAATTATCTAGTTGTGAAATAGAAATGACACGAAAGAATGGTGACAGTGAAAGTCAAAAGAGAAAAGTCTGATTGCCCTTTCTGTGCCGTATTATCTTAATAACAGATTAGATTCTCTTGAAACGTGTATAGAACATATCTTATTTTTCACACACATAATTGCAAGAGATCGTGTACATAATTATCTGTCAGTCTAAACCGATTAATGATCATTTTATGAGATAAAGACCGACTTGCATGTCCCCGCGAAATAAACACATAATAGACTCTCAAACAAGTCGAGCGAAAAAGTGAACAGCGAAAGTAATAACGAATGGAATAAAGATTTTAAAGCATCGTAATCAACGATTTAATAACGTCAGCATCTATTATTAAAGTAAAAAATGCATGAAATGATCTTGAAATAATCACGTGTCACGTGCGTGATCTTTTATATAAAATGCTGCACAATAGCTTCTAGACAATCACTTCAAAACACTAGAAACTTTTTTTATATATAGTTTTATACCTTTGATAAAAAGAATTGTTAAGATTATTTTTCAAAAGAAAAGATCGCGAAATAATATAAAAGTACAAGCGATTATTTCACGATCTTTTATTTTGAAAAGTAATCTTAACAATTCTTGTTATCAAAGGTATAAAACTATACAATGAAAATGTTTCTAGTGTTTTAAAGTGATTGTCTAGAAGCCATTGTGCAGCATTTTGTATAAAAAGTCACGCACGCGACAACATTTTTGCTATGAAAACAAAGAAGGAAATGTACAGCTGTCTTTTAAGTATTACAAAATATTTGACGAAGCATTTAATATATTGTTTCTTTATCGCATGACTTGATCGAACGGTCAGGATTACCGTTGCCTTCCCCCGATGCTTCGTGCTAAATCCTTCCTTCGATATCGCGCTGACGTGCTCCACGGCTAATTGCGTCCAGGTAGTCATTGTTAAAACTCAGCTAACTTTGTTAGCGGAAACTGCACGGATATTGAAAATAAATTGCATCCACGTTTGCATTCCTCGTCGAAACGCACCGATGATACGTGCGGGAGAATCGAGGATCGGCCCCGACTGGTCGAACGGATCGACGTTTGACCGTCCTAGGGCAGTCAGCAGCCGCGACTGAGTCTACTTTAATTAGTTATAAATAAAGGCAGGCAAACAGGCAGGCAGGCATCAGGCATCAGGCCAGAATGGGAAGACCTATTGACATTCCCCGACGGCATTGATGTGACACTTGTTACGTGGAAAAAGAAACGCGAGTAAACGCCGACGACACGGACGTCGCGAACATCTGTCGGTCGGTTGAATCATTTTGCCGGATTCGAGAATACTTGTGGATGATCCACCCGAGATATGAGAAGAAAGAAATCCACACATTGCGCGTATCTGCAAACTGCAGTCTCGAATATTTGTGGAATAAAAAATCATAATCGTTCAAATTGTTCCCTAAAAGATTTCACGGGGTTGCAGGTGTAATTTTATCTTTTTGTTCTCTCTTTCCATGCGAACGCCGAGACAGATTGTTGAAACTGCAAAAACAGATTCGCTCACCGTATTGGGGCGCCTTATTATCTTCTCGGAATCGTCTCCCTCAAAGGCGTTGAGTTGTTGCATCGCAGCCTCCACGCTCAGGACATTCCAATTCGACATTCTTCGCATATCCATGACGGCGAGATTATGGAGACGAGACAATTGATTAGAACAGAATCCGCGTGGTGCGAGTAACAAGGAATGAAAAACAGAGAAGCAACGAGCAGTTTTCACGCTGTTATTTTGTAAGTCATCTAGCAATGACGAACGTATATCATGGGAGAAGTTCGTCGGTGCTTTATTAATTATGCAAACGAGGAAATCAATTTAAGGACGTATCGGGAAACGATATCACAGTCTTTCGCATTTGCTCACAAAACTCCCTGGCGACACCCGTGAGACCGGAACGTAAGCCCATGAACTAAGTCGCAGCCTTTCGCAAAAATTTCATTGAATATTATTTACGAGTTGTATTACGATCGGAAGAACGCGTGTTCTCGATTTTGTACGATTTTTTCCACTTTCGCGAGACACACGGTAACTTAGCCGCCACGTTTTCACAGTCGCAGAGCCATTGTGTCACAGCCGTCCGCCACCGTCACGAAGTTTCGATAAATTCGAGTAATCCCCGAGCTTTCAGGCGATTCTCTGACTTTTTCACGCATCTAGGCGGCCGCTAATCGAGAACGGACGTTGTGCGATAGACGAAAAGTAGCGTACTCAGTCATCTCGTCGTGATGTGCGTGTAGACGTCCGTCTGCGTTCTGCGAGTCGGAGGAGAAAAATTGTAACTAAAATAATCGCGTGTTTCTCGCCGCTTTCTCAAAATAGACCCACTGGAGTGCTCCGCGAGCACAAGTACCTCGTGCAGGCGAATCATTCGAGCGAGAAGAGCTGGCGTACATTTTTTATGCGCAGTCTGCCAGGAAAAAAAGACCTGTTACATTGTGAAAATGCGACAATGCACCACTCATATCCGCTTCCTTTATGTCTCCGTACAAAACATTACTCGTAATTTTCACCAAGAACTAATTAGCTTCTTCACATACCGTCACAATGCGTTACGAGATATCTTCAAATACGAATTCATATTATTCTTCCAATTTTCCAAATTTTTTCGAAATATTAAATAGGAATAGGACAAAATTGTTGTCACTGAAGGGAAAAAAGTTGTTCGCGATAAATCTGTTAATATTTATCATATTAACAGGCGAACATAAAATATTAAATTATGCCCAGTATTTGAAAATTTATGACGACCATATTGAATATATTTCAGGAAATGCAAATTTGAAGGGACTAAGAGCCGTGACAGAATGTTAGTGTCTGAATAATTTAATTATTTTGTTTCCAATAAATGTTTTATCCCCTCTTGTAGAATTTAAACTGTCAAGAAGTACAACTGTGTGACTCATAACGTCATGATTCACAATGTGCATTGCTATTCCACTCTGGGATAAAGGAGACGCGGTATTTTTTTTTCTCTCTTACGCAGCCACGCACGTGGCATACATAATCGACAAAAGTATTCTATTTTTTCGCGTCTGTACTTTTCGAGATTACATACGCCCGCGCAAATTTTCTGGCATCTTCCGATTCCTGCTTTCGCATTTTCTGTTCGACCTATTCTCAAGTTGGAAGAATTGTGCGTCTCGCATTTAAGCAATTAATTTCTTGATTCGCGCAAGTCCCGTAAAATTATTTTAACGAACGCATCCCTACCTCGAGATCGTGGGAAATGTAGGAGATGAGGGTCAAGCGAGCGAATTTCTCGTTGACCGAAATTCAAACGGAAACCCTTGGCATCCTGCCGCCAACTTGATTAATTAAGACCGCACTTAATGCAGTAGGTAACACAAGTACGAGTATGTGATCGAGACACGTAATTTTTATACAAATGTAATTGCTGCGTCTACATAGCGTTCAGCGCACAATGTAAGAAATATTTGTCCGAGGAAAACAGACAATTATATAGATCGGTGTTTCGCGTACCAATAAGTAAAGGATTTCTCCAGCTTTCGTCTTACGAGACAGTCAACCCACAAGTCAACCACGAGTACAAGTTTCGTAAATATTTTCATTACATTTCAGTAAATACTTTCGTTCTCCACGAATACAAGTGTCGTATGTAGCTTTATTACATTTCAGTAAGCACTTTCGTTATCGCGCACTTGATTTCGTTCTCCGTCAGGAAAACGTTTCCCTGATCTCGTAATGTACGAGATCGAGGCTCATGATCAAAGTCAAAGCAATAAAAGTGCCTAATTAATCTTGACGAAATGAAATCCATCGCATTCAGCAGCTCTAGAATCAGAATCTCACCGAGTTTCATCGCGCATTTAAGGATGTTTCGTACCTATTTTTGAAATACTGGAAATTCAACAAAAATTTCACAGATTGTCCGAAGACTTGTAAAAAAAAAATTTGAAGTCGTTTCACCGAAGCAATCACAAGTTATAAAATTTTTAATTTGCAACGGATTTATCTACGAGGTTATGGAAAACTAACCGCGTTGAATCAAATCGCTAAAACTGATGGAAAAGTCAAAAATACATTTCTGAACTCGAGCTACGAAGAAATAATAAGATTCTAAGCGATGTTTATTGACTAAGCATATATTCGTCAAAATTGAATTTCAGCTACTTTTTGCTACGATTGTACAAAACATCCTTAAACAATCTGTGTAAAACCTCTGCACTGGATCTTTGTCTTCGCGTTAAGTTATTTATATAAACGTGTTATATAAATACAGGAAATTTTTATATCGCGAGAAAAATCGTATCGAAAATAATTTATTCGGGATACGCGATTGTTGTATACGAGTTGTACAATATATTACCGACTGCACTTGATATCTCGTTATCTCTTCGTTGTGAAATACTCCAAGGAAGTTTTAACGTCGCGCGCTTTAAACAATAGGGTGTTACGTAAATCTCAGTGTTTTTGAATCGACTGCGAAAGTCGATAAACATTAGACCGGACGCGCGACTTATATGTATTCACTGCTTATAGACGCGGCGTCCGACGACTTGGTCATCATCCAAGGAATCTATATCTAATTATCGACTCACGTTTAATTGCGAATTTAGCATTCATAATTCGCAGCAAACTACGCGTCTCTTCCTTCGCTATTTGCGGCTAACGGACGGTCGGCGATAGATAAGAATTAAGATTAGCAAATTGCAACGAGCCACGTACCATCTACTATCGCGCGAGGAGAAAGTAATTATGCGATAACTCTGCAATAATTTCATAACTCTCGGATCAAAGAAATTCATCGAAGATTAGTTGGATAACGCGTACATCAATACGATAAAGCGGAAAGTGTCGACGCGAAAAAGTGTTATACAATATTATAAACACGTGCTTGTTTTCTCCAGATTTAATTTTATCGCATGACAAAATTGTGTCTCGCGACGAGCACACATTGATCGCGAGTCGAGGTCCGATGAGTAGAATTTTAGATAACTCGCGAACTAGACTTGTAAATAGATTTATAAATAGATTTGAAAATTTGAAACTGTACTGCGCATTTTATGTCGTTACGAACGCGGCATTCGTTACTTCTGTAATTTTTAGGAATTTAGGAAAATTCCATTACATTAATAAAAACGAGCCGCGCTCCGTCATACAAGTCGCTGATAAGGCGACAATTTTTAATCCCCTGTTTCCGGCGGCTTTCAAGTATAATATTTTTCCGAACAGAACGTCGATATTAATTTTTTTTTCTTGCTAATGAGTGACATTAAGATATAAATGTTTTCGCAGCATTCAATTCGAAATTTTGCAATTTTTAAATAATCCCAGCGAGAGAAATGGCTCGTCGATCAACGTCAATTTGACGGTATCAACTCGACATCGTTTCGATATTGATCGGCGAGTCATTTCTCACTGGGATTATTATCAGTAAAGGCTGGTTTATGCAAGACCGTGACCGTGAACTTATACCGGAATCGGTAAGAATTAACCAATTACAGTCAACTGTTGTTTTCACTTTTAGCCGGTGACCGGGCAATTTTTACCGATTCCGGTATAATTTAACAGTTACGGCCTTGCGTAAACCAACCTTTACTCTCATAAATTAAACCTCGCGGTTTCGAGTGGAATTATTGTCGAAATCGTTCACGTCGCGATTCTGCCTTCTTTGACTCGCGCACGACGCAAGATCGATCCGGCGTCACAAAGCGCCCGCCCCCGCCCGCCTGATTCGACCTTCGTTTCTTTCGGGAAACGGGGAGAATTGTCGTCCACGAACGGGAGGAAGACGTCGACCAGTCACTGCCGGGCGGAACTTATTACCAGTCACCGACGATAGCTTATCAACGACCAGTCGCTATCAAATGAGCCTACAAGTAACAGCGACGACTGCGGCGGAGCGATGAAAAGTTATTCAAGTCTGTGTAGGGAAGAGATGCTCCCGGGGAGCAACGATCCAGTCTGAGAGACACACGCGCGATCGTTGCGCGAAGAAAAAGCCGAACGTGTCGTTAACTCGATCGTCTCCTCGTCCATTTGCAGACACGAAGGAGCATTTAAATTTAACGCGGAACCATGAGAGGCGCCACTTCTGATCCTCACATCAAGAGACTCTGAAGAAGGTTTCATCGCATCGTCTCGTTTCTTTCAGTGCCAAAGAATTGCGGGCGTATCAAATCCTTCCCTTTTATATTTCACGACCAGATCTTTAACGATTTATTTATATAATTGTATCTATAATCCGTGCTCATGCAGCACAAAGACGTCTCTCGGGGGTTTTGTACTACACGAGTGAATCAGCTGATTTCAGATCAAAACGCTCGTCATACCAGGGTTTACTTTCAATTAACTTATCATGTCTAAGGCCTGGCTTCAGCAACGTCGCTTAACTATGAGCTTAGCTTAATTCATTCTTTGTCTCTTTCGAACTGTTACTTTAGAAAGAGACAAACGTGAATTAAGCTAAGCTTAAAGTCAAACGACGTTGGTGAAACCTTAGGGAACCAGTGTTCAGTCGACTCCCTATCTTTTTCCATCCTACTATTTGAGAAGAGACAGAGAATCAATTAACCTTCGGTCAGTAGTTAACCGATGTTCGTGAAACTGGCCCTAAGAGAAATACATGGTTTGCCTTTAATTAATTCACAATGTTTAGGCTGTACATCCGGCCTGGTTCGCCAGCCCTCTCCTCCGTTTTGTCCATATCTACATTCGTTTGACATCGGAGGAAGCTGCGGGGGAAACCGCTGATCAAAATCTTGTACACCAATGCCCGCTAATGCCCAGTGGGCATTTTATCTTTGTAATGTCCCAGCAAGGCCTAATGCCCAAACTTCTCCTTCTTCTCTGGTTATTGGCTCCCGGCTCACAGACACTGAGCCGACACGGCCACGTCGAACCAATAGACTTAATGGTATTGCTTGGAATGTAGTGAATTGAACGATGCAATGGCCCGGTAACCGGGCCACACGCGGGATGATGCAATCCCGCAGGATCAAAAATTTATCTCCCGTCGGAAGACGCGTGAACCGCTCGACGGCCCAGACGGAACTTAATGCCCAAACTAATGCCCAAAAATGCCTAGTAACGCCCAGTAATGCCGCAAATCTGTACACCACAATGCCCTCAGCGCTTTCCCCCTCGGAGGAAGCGATCTGCCGAAGGATAGGAGCGACCGAGCTGCGTTCTCCGTTCAAAAGCGGCGCCTCCGTCAGCCTCGAGCAAACGCGCCGCGCGTCTACTTCCACCGCGCATCCTCGACGAGTACTCCGACTTCTCTTCCTCGTTATCTCGTTCTCCGTCTCGCTCCGCTCCGTCGCGTGACCCTCTCGCTCCGCCGTTCGTCCTCGTCGAGCGCTCCCTCTCGCTCGCGCCTGCGGCCGACGACTATAAAAGGGACCGACCGTGGCGCGGCGCGCGTCAGTTGCGACGTAACGACGCACAGTGAGTCCCGCGAGTGTTCAGCAGAGAGGTCTATCCAGTAATCGAGCACGGAAAGGGTGCGATAAGGAGAGCGAGAGCGAAGACGACGAGTGCGGGGGACGCGGCGCGCGTCTCCGAGATCGTGATCGCGCGTTAAATCGCGACGGCGTCGGTAGTGCCTTTGTCCGCGGATCGACACGGCGGCATGAAATAACGACGAGGCCGGGACGAATCAACGAGGCAGCGGCGGCGACGTTCTGATTCGAAGCGTCCGTACTCAGTCCTCAGTGTAGGCTAGTCGGTCGCTCGGCGGCGTCGATCCACCACGACGAGGTCCATCTCCATCCATCCCGTCCATCCAGCATCCGAGAGACGCGCGAAGAAACGCCAGCGTGGAGAACGCACTTTGGTTCCCGGGGACGAAACAGCTCTGACGAACGCACCTTCACCCGTCGCGCACCTGTAATCTCGCGACTCAAATCGTCGATCACGTCGATCACGTCGCGGCGATAACATCGTCTTCCTCGAGGGCGCGCGAGGAGGTTATCTCCCTCCATAGAGAACCGGGGAATCGTCCCCGCGACTTGTCAGTCGCTCGCGCGCGTCCCAGGTTCCCGTCACGTGGCGCGGACCAGAGTCACGTTGACGTTGACGTCGGCGTCGGGCGTGCCGCTTCCTGAATCCGGAGTCGTCCCGACTTGCCAAGAGGATATCTCTCTCTCTCTCTTTCTCTCTCAGCGGAGCGCACACGACAACAAACATGGCCGCCGCGGCGTCGTACGCGTGCACCCGCAACTGCACGGACGCGGGTTACCCGGCGGGATACTCGTGCGACGTCCTCGGGGGCGCCGACGAGTGGCTGGCCTGGCAGGGGATCGTGGAGTACTTCTCGTACAACCCGTGGATATTCTCCCTGCTGGGCAGCACCATGGTCGGCCTCACTGGCATCTTCCCCCTGTGGCTCATCCCCATCCAGGACGGCGTGGACTTGAAAACCGGCGGTTCGTTTCCCTTACCTCAACATCGTATTAATTCCGACGAGGCGGCGCGAGAAAGTTTTATCTGATCTCCGTGTATCCGCCTCTCTCGTCGCTCGCCGAGGAACGTTTTTTAATTACGCAACTCGGCCAGATCTACGCGACGTGATTAACGAAAATGGAACCGGCGGACTTGGTCCTTTTATTTTTCCGCTCTTATAATCGCTGTTCTCTCGCGTATGTACGAGACGAAGGGGTGGATATCGGGTTGAATTTTCTGAGCACGACTAGATAAAATTTCTTATTTTCCGCGGTTTAATAATTATTCTTACGCTCTTGGGCGTGCGTACGAGATGAAGAGGTGAATATCGAGTTTAATTCGGCCACGGAGTAAAATTCCCATTTTCCCCGTTTTAATTATCACTAGACAACATAAACGCGCGCTTTGCGTGCGCCATTTGCTCTCTCTAAAAATTCGCACGGTTTGACTGCTGCAAATAAAACGACTGAAGCATGTCGTATCGCACAAGCGAGACAGCCAATCAGCATCCCGGAAAAGCGACAACAATACGGAACGATAGATTTTGACTCCGAACGCGCACTTCTCGGTCTACATCTCCTTTTTTTATAGAGGAGAAATTTTCACATCCTTGGACGCACGCGACGAAATGAAAAGGCGATTATCAAGCCTACTCTCCTGGTTATGGTACAATTTTTTCTGTATCAACAATCAATTTTACAATTTTGCGACGTGTACCACGAGACTTGTTTTAATTGCGATTCGTCCCGCTTTGCATTTTAATATAAAATTGTACGTATAAATCGTACTCCGCTATTTTGTTATCGGTGGCAAAACCAAAATTTTACGATATTCTTAAATTAAATATCGCCACGTACTAGGCCTACAATGTGCTCTCTGCATCTAGAAACATTCTATTTTGTAGTCAATAAACGTTTAAAAAATTTGCGCAAGTGGATAAATTGTACGCTATACACTGTACAATCGTGCATTGTCGACAAGTTTTTTAAGCGTCTCGATTTGTTTATATAAAGTAGAATGTCTCTAGACGCAGAGAGCACATTGTATTATAGATTAGGCTAAATGTTTCGTACTTGTGTGAGGAGTTAATCCAAGGACTAATGTTTCGTACGTCGCGCAAGGAATTTATCCAAGGACTAACGCTTCGTATATCGCGTAGGAAATTTATCCAAGAACCTAATGCTTCGTGTGTCGCGTCAGAAATTTTTCCAAGAACTAGTGTTTCGTATGCTGTATAAGGAATTTATCCCAAAATTAATATTTCGTGTATTGTCGAGGGTAAACCGCTGCCGAAAATCATGTACACCAATGCCTACTAATGTCCAGTGGGCATTACTTTATCTCATTTATTTTACCTTTAAGCCTGAGCAGAATAGCTGTTTTGTGTTTTAAATCTTTGTCTTAAAGTAACGCACAATAACAGTCTTGTGACTTAAGAATACGAGACAGCCATTTTGCTCAGGCCCTTACAATGCCCCGGCAAGGTCTAATGCCCAAAAACTCAAAAAAAAGTAATGCCCAGTAATGCCACCCATCTGTACACTACAATGCCCTCAGCGGTTCACCCCTCGTGTATGGAATTTGTCCAAGGACTAATATTTCGTGTGTCGTGTAAAAATTTCTCGAACGTACTGGACCGAGGGTGAACGCGAAGACTCTAGTCGATCTGTTGGATTTTTAAATAAAAATTGAAAACTCTAGATTGCATTCGGAAACATCACCCAAGTGCCCTGGCGTGTCATTTTAGTCTTGTTTAACATTCGGTGAGCAACAAGAATAAAACGATACACTGGAGCATTCGGGTGATGTTTCCGAACGCAATCTAGAGTTTTCTCTAAATAATAAGATGGAAAAAGATAGGGCGTCGACTAAACTCTGGTTAATAGTTAACCGGCGTTTGTGAATCGCCCTAATACCCGTTTCTACCAACGCAGTTTAACTTTAATCTCGGTTCAACTTGCTTTGTATCTTTCTCTAGTTTTACGACTTGGAAAAGGACAAGAAGTAATTTAAGCTGAGATTAAAGTTAATCTGCATTGGTAGAAACGGGCATAGTAGTGGTTTCCGGTGATCAATTTTAATTTATTAAGTTTCTCCGATTAAGTTTCTCGATGAAATTATGGATAAAGTGCGGTTACCGATGAAATTTGATCGCAAAACCGATCGTATTCTTCATCGGACATACAATTTATGCCAATTTCTACCAACGCAGATTAACTTTGATCTCGGTTTAACTTATTTTTGATCTTTTTCTAGTTTCAGGAAAAAGATGAAGTGTAGAACCGAGATCAATGTTCATCTGCATTGGTAAAAATGGGCATTAATTGGATATATTCGTTTGTTTCTATGTAATTGGACTTAATCGGACGATTCTCAGTGTATACGTCTCCTTATTAAGATATGGTATCAAAGTACACAGGCTTATCTAACGGCACTATTTTCCTGACAAAAGACAATGCGTCGCAAACGAACTCGCACTTGCTGCACACGAAATTCGTAAATTCTCGATATTAATTCACTCCTCTCGTAAGTTTTTCGGAGAAAGTTTTACACGTAGAAAGAATCATTAATCGTTTCAAGGTGAAACCGCATACTTTGCATACAATAAAGCTAAAGTGTCTTACCGCACAGTCGCGATAATCGCTCATTTATAATACACAATCACGGCATGACACGTGTTGACCAATGGCATTCTTGTTTTTCCAAGCAATCCAAATTGATGACTGCGAGACACTTCTCGCGAATTACGCACGTGATAATCCTAACAAGAATTGTCGCAGTTTGATTCATCGGCACACGTATTGACCAGATTGCCACGCGATAGATCACACCGAAATCACGAACTTCAGAGATCTCCAAATTCCTTCGCATTATTCTAACGCGAATTGAATTATATACACTGTAAAAAAAGTATGTAAAATTACGTACATAATAAGTGCAGCGATTACACTGTTAATAACGGAAATATATGAATTTATGTAAAATTTACACAATGAAAAGCAAGCAGTTTACTTATCATGGAAAGTGAAATTACCTACAAGGTGTAAATTTACTGACGTATGTAAATGTACACCTTTAATAGATGGTCCCAATATTACCCTGTAATAATTGTAACTTTACGTATAATTTTTTTACAGTGTACGCGTGGAGGATAAATCAGAGTTTAACCTGAGAACTTGGACCGATTTACACTCTTATACAGATATGTTCGACTGTTATATCTTAGGCCCGGTTTCACCACACGCTGCTTAACTTTAATCTTAATTTAATTCGCGTTTGTCTCTTTCTAAAGTAACAATTGGAAAGAGACAAGGAACGAATTAAGCTAAGCTTAAAGTTAATCGACAACCAGGCCTAAGGCCCGGTTTCACCAAACGTCGCTTAACTTTAATCTTAATTTAATTCGTGTTTGTCTCTTTCTAAAGTAACAGTTGGAAAGAGACAAAGAACGAGTTAAACTAATTGTAAGCTTAAAGTTAAGCGACGTTGGTGAAATCGGGCCTTAGAAATTTGAGACCACAGTTCAGATTTGATCTGTATATATCGTAAATGCTGTTTAATTAATTCTAGTACTATTATTCTTTCCGCGTTCTCCAATATTTTCACATATTAAGTCAACAGTGTAGTTGGAATACTATTGTTAACACTCAGTGTGTTGATGACCTCAGGTACAAAGGATTACGGCAGCTTCGAACAAAGCACGTTGCTTTGTAATCAAGTCCTCGTAGCGTTGCGTTTGAAAATTTGCGATCGTTACTGCTGTAACTAGACAGAATAAACCCAATTAGCGAAACTTAATGGTGCAGACGCGACGAAACGAGAGGGAATAAATTACCCCCGTGTTTTTATCGCGATAATTGATCTTTGTTGCGTACCCATCGCGCATTTCCGTAAAACAGCTTAGCGATTGGCTCCAGCGATACTTTCCGCGGGGAAACGATATAACGACAAATCCGTCGTTGAACTCGACCCTTTTTTTTATCTCCCTCGTTACAGAAATTATTGGCCAATATGACTGTTCTATCGCCGTAATAAAAACGAGCCGTTGCATTTTCCTTGACGATTAGAGAACGACCTGGGGTGATTATTTGTTAAAGCTTTCCGCGCCGTGGCACAAACTTTCAAGAAAGCAGTTAAGAATGAAGCGACTTTGAATATGCTGTTCACACGAGACGCGCTTGGAATTTCACTCTTTTCACATTTATTATATCAGTGCATAAGCAACGCATTTAAACGCAGTTTTTTCGCGGGCACTTTAACGTTAATTGCGTAGCGAAAACTATATTGTGCGTTTAACAGCAAGTGAGATTATCATATAATTATATCCTCGCAATTTATTGCCGGCTGAAAGGTAGAATAACAGAAAATGTCAGAGACGTGGAAAGATAAATAAGTTAATCGCGCACCGATAATTTATCCGCGCGAACGAAATAGCGTCCGATTACAAAACGTTGTAGAGGCTGTTTAATTTTCTCGCGCGAGAAGCATCGCGGGCAAAAATGTTACTCCTTATACCGTATACACGTATTTCTAACAAAGTTACGTTTTTACACGGAAAGAACAATGTAGCTGCTGTAGCTAAAACTTAGCAAAATAGGGACAGCTAATATTTTAGTTGTGATAGCTATCACAACTAAAATATTAGCTGTCCCTATTTTGCTAAGTTTTAGCTACAGCAGCTACATTGTTCTTTCCGTGCACGGCGCGCAATTAAATTATCGTTCGACGAAGCTAGGTGCATTCGTGCCTGCTTAAAAACAGATCGGTATGGCCACGCGTTGAAATTTAGAGTACGCACGAGGCAAGACGGAGGAGAGTTTGTTGTCGACGATAGCTGCCAACAATACCGACGCATATAGCGTTTCCACCGAGAGTTGCGAAATAATGGGAAATTTGATGAATACGATGCGCTTTATTTGTATTTATCATTCCGATAAAGCGACAGCGGCGGGGTTCAACGACTTCACGGAAGAGACATCAAGAC